AGGTAGGTATGTAAAAAAATTAATATTAAGATATAGACCAGACATAAGGAAATGTTTTAGCCTGTAACGGTGCTGAACCAAAATCTACTGACTTTAACTGTGCTTTACCAAAATATCTATAAAATGTATTAGGGTATACATAGAAGTTAAGGATGGGTAGGAAGGCAGGAAACACAACTATATGTTTGTTCGGAATCAGGACAACTCGGACCAAGACAAACTCGGACAAATTTTAAGACAACTCGGACCAGTTTATTTTGACATAGTACATCTTCTGTACTTTTTTACTTTGTACCCACTGTTTACTAAGATATATAAATGTGGCTAGTTTGACTTCTCCCGCTCGGCAGACGTTAGGTAAACAACAATTCTAAAAAACAAATATAGAACAGATGTATATAGGGGATAATGTTACTGATTCTTGCTTTGTATGCAAACAAAAGAAAAATGCTGTTTGATTGCCAATGACACAACTATCCAACAAAATAGTTGCATACATCTACGAATATGAAAACCCCATACCATTTAGTAAGCTATAATATGCCGCGGGATAATAATATATGAAACAATATAATTCGATACTGATAAAAAGCTTATAGTATTAAAAGATGTGTATTGGCAAACGACAACCACTGCACTATAGGCAGACGCCTTGCTTGGAAAAGACCTGTTCAGAGAAAGACATGTTCAGAGGCGGATTTAGGGGGCAAGGGGGCCAGTCCCCCTTATCAAGCTTCATATATGAAAAATGCATAGACTTTTTACAAGTATCACTCTAAACGTTGACTTGTTGGGCTTAAACGTGTATCGACTCTCCCATTATGTTTATTATTACATAATGGCTTCCGCCAGAAGTGTGTACTATCTTAGTTTATAGTAGCTTGAGGTGTAGTGTTGTTGTTGCTCTATTCCGGTACCCAGTTTGGACTTACATGAGCAACGCGACGGATGCCACATGTGAACAATATCTGCTTACTCAGAGATCACCGCCATATCTTGGTAGGGTTCGTATTGCTCAGTCCTTAGTTTTCTGTGTTGCGTGTTTTGTGTACTGTTGTTTGTCTGTTGGTCTTTTTCTTTTTTTAGCCATGGCGTTGTCAGTTTATTTTCGACTTATGAGTTTGAATGTCCCTTTGGTATCTTTCGCCTCTATTTTAGATAGCATTAAGCTATAGTGATTCGACCACAATTTGATTTTTATTTTCTTGACCTAAATAAGGCACGGTTTCTACCAATATCACCTACATAGTAAATCAAGATATAATCGGATTATTACTAACCCATGCATATGTCCAAAAACAAAACAAAAGTCTGGTCATACTTAAATCACTATTAACAATAAATCTTGGATTAAAAACATTTACAACATAATTGATATTATATTTATTTAATTTAATAGTACAAAACACATAACAAGGTAAGAAAACATGTTATTATTCAAAGTTCTCTTTTTCTCGACTTTTTATTTGGGTTATTTGTCGGACACTTGTGTAAATGAGAGTCGTCCTTCATTTCTGCATTCTTATTTTACTCTATTCTTTGTTTTTTATCATAGTCTTTATATTTTAGCCCCTATTATTCTCCATTCTTTATTATCTTGTTCTACTTTTCTCTATTCCTTTTTTTTTGGCCCATTTTTCTATAGTACTGGCTTACTATATCCTATTCTGTATATCCCAACCAGACCCTTGTATATGATGGTTGGACTTCTTGTTGCAGAACAGAAAGTCAAATTTCGATCCTAATGTAACAACATATTCTAGTTAATGCAAATACCACAGGTTCGAGTTATTAGGCATCGAGCATCATTCAGCTTCTTAGGTTATGGGAAGGATGTTCTGAATGTACAAAACATTCTTACATAACACTCAGGAACTAAAACAATTGTTTCGAAACTCAGTTTGGTATCCCCTTCCCTTCCTCGAATTTTCAATGGAAACATTTATTTTCACTCCCATTCTGAAACATTATTTTTATAGAAATTAATATTCTTACAATTTGTTTATTCCCCCACCCCCGGAAAGTGCATGTCTTAAAGAGTTACGAGAAACTGATTAAAACACATATACATAAAAGTAATGCATTAACAAGCATTAAACCTATTTAATGGACGTACATACAACGTGAACAACAGCATATGCATAAGCAACTCGGAAAAGAGTAATGAGAGTCTGATTAAAACAGATTTACATAAAAGTAATGCATTAACAAGCATTAAACCTATTTAATGGACGTACATACAACGTGAACAACAGCATATGCATAAGCAACTCGGAAAAGAGTAATGAGAGTCTGATTAAAACAGATTTACATAAAAGTAATGCATTAACAAGCATTAAACCTATTTAACGGACGTACATACAACGTGAACAACAGCATATGCATAAGCAACTCGGAAAAGAGTAATGAGAGTCTGATTAAAACAGATTTACATAAAAGTATTGTATATACCAGCATTTAACATATGAGCTGCGTCGGATAGAAATCGACCTTATGCAAATGAATATCAATACATATGTTAATTTAAAAAGGATTGAAAAAAATCTCTATGCAAAGTCTGTAAATGTCTGAAAATTGAGACAATATAAGAACCCCACAAAACAGACCAACATTCATCTTTTATTTCGTATTTGAATGTTCAAAAAATCAATCAAAGTATTAGCAATGACACATGTATACGTGCACTTGCATAAGGTCGATTTCTATCCGGCGCAGCTCATATAAAACACTTCTTTCTTTTTAATAATAAATCGTGGCAGATTTTGGCAGTGTAAATTGCATATCATCATCATTAAACATAAATATAAATTTTTCATTATCATTAACCTGGTGACCTATAGCTGTTAATTTCTATATCATTTGGTCTCTGGTAGAAGATGTCCCATTGGCAATTATACCACATCTTCTTATTCGTATATACTAGTATACTCTCATTAAGTCATGTCGTACGAAAACAACATGATTCTATCCGATTTACAAACGAATAGGTTTAACAATTAAATCTAATTTGATTTAAATATTTAAACGTACAATTAACAAAGTAAGACATTCTCATTTATAAAAGCCTGGCTTAGGGAAAAACAAATAGAATAATATCTTTTCAAAATATTACAAAATTGTGATGACAGGTCCATTACATCGGTGAAATTTGTCTTCTGTAAACTGAATATCAACTATTTATTTAATAATCAATTTTGTTCAAAATCAAACAGTAATGTTCAGAGTGTCACAATCGATATGCATATATTTCTTAAAGTTATGAATAGAAATTTAATGTCTTTGAAATATGAAGTCATACATAAGAGGATTTAATTGTCAAGGATGACACAGGCGTTGTTGTAAACACACTTGTTTAATAATGGGCTCGTGTGGTTGTTATGTGCACAACTATTCACATAATATTTACATCGTATACTTAAATAAGACACTTGAACTAGAAGAAGCATATAGATGAGTGCAAATTATGCTTAATTTAACTACCAATCGTATTTGTTTATCTTTATTGTTTGCTTGCTGGTGTTTAAGTTTTTTTAAAGGGTTCCGGTTTTTTGGGGGGAGGGGTGTAGGTATTATGGGCGGAATAAAAAAAATCATGAACACCAAGGCCAAAATAAAAAAAAAGAAGCAGTCCACAAAATGCTACAGGGTGCCTCAAGATTTAGGATGAATAAATACAAAATTAAAGATCAGAAGATAATCATGAAAGTGTACTGATCTTTGCAGGTGTTACCTAAATGCACATAAGCGCTTTTAATACACAAATTTAGCGTTGTCGCCATCTAACAATGAATTCCACTAAAGCTGGCGCTAGGGACCATCTTGAACGTGTTGTAAGCTGGGAGCGTTTGTTATACGCGTTGAAGGTCTCTTTGTAACTTGTATATAAATAACAGCAATTGAAGTACTGTTCGATTGTCGTTTGGTTTAACCTAGTTTGTGCAAGAATTTTCTTTTTCTTATGAAATGATGCTTCGTATCTCTTTCATTTATTACTGAAAATATACTAACCTGCATGTTTAAATTTGTAGAAAATCAAGACTAACTTATATATATATCTCTTTCATTTATTACTGAAAATATACTAACCTGCATGTTTAAATTTGTAGAAAATCAAGACTAACTTATATATATATATATATATATATATATATATATATATATAATGAAAACTGTTTCCATTAACAGAAATCACTTCAATGTTAATTCTTTTTCATGGGTTGCTTCATAGACTTTAATATTATCCAGACCCTTATAACATACCATAATCCAGTCGTATAATGTACAAATAATAATTAGTGAACACTTCATTTTTTTATAGGATACGCATATCTTTTTTTTCAATAATTAAACCATTATTTTCACAAGGTAAAGTAAAATACATATGGAAAATATATACAATAATTGATAAAATACAATTAGTACAAGACATTGTATTAACAACAAAAAAATAGAGATGTCTTCACACTAGATTAAGCCTGAAGTACACACAGATTTATTTATGATTTTAATAAATTTGCAAACTTTAATAAGCTTTGCTTTCATTTTTGATGACATCAATAATCTACACTTTAAAATATTTGGTCTACATGGTGTAACTGTATGTTTGTTACAGTATGTTAATTTTTCTCTCCTGTTAAAAAAATGAACATTAAATGATTCCAACAAATGAAATTAACCTTTAAAGGTGGTTAACCTTAAATTAGGGGTAATTATTGGCACTAATTTTCTACCTTTATTGCATTTTACAACGAATTTGATCATTAGCCTCAATATTCTAAATTTAATTTGATAATTTAACGGATATTTTTGATTATAAGAACAGAATTATTTTCTGTATTTTATTTTCAAATCCAGTCAGAGAGTTTGAAATGAATATCGTAAATCAACAATGGAGTAAAGAAATTAAAATTAAATACCTCCGTGATGTGTATTGAAACTTTCTTACCTGTAATCAGTTTTTAATCAGCGATACATTTCATTTATGATTGATTTACGTGACGGGGCAGTTGTAATTAAATGGTCAAATACATTTTAATTGTGGAGCTTATAAAAGTAAAGAATTTGGTATAATGTTACTATTTGCCATGGAAAAAGATGAAGACAGAAAATCTACACCAAGGAAACATATTCATAACGCCAGGTATAGACCCTATTTTAGCAATAGTTAATGCATCCAATTTGGTATGGAAAAGAAATGCAATTGTTTCACCTTGTATTTGTTAACTTCCGAGATGGTACTTTTAAGGGATAAAGTGAAAAGCACGTGTGCGCACTAATATTTGAGAATTTCCGGTGCAGTAATTCTGATACATTTTCAATTACAAATGTCCGTCAGAGTAACGTTTAACGAATTAGCATTTCATAATAGTTTAGAGTATTTTTTTTTTTCATTTCTATATTTTGTAAGAAAAAATTATGTTATATTGAAATCTTGCTTAAATTAAAAAAAAAAAAAAAATTTTCTATACTAAATCTCAAAACTTTTCACATTTGAATTTTTGACAGTTATATACCTGATGAATTTAAATTTCAAAACTTAACATTTGAAAACTAGAAAATTTTATTCTTGGTTTATAATATTCAAAATTTATATTAACTCAATACCATATCAAAATTCGAAATTTTTAAGCGTTAACGTTAAATGCACAGCTGCCGATTATATTGCACAACTAACATGTTTCAGGAATCTTCTTTGCATATACGATGGTACAGCCGATAACCAACTTTTAAAATCCGAATAAAGAATACAAGTACGAAAATAGTATAAAAATGATATTTGATATTTGAAAACGTGAAATCATTGAAATGTGTCGTCAATAAAAATCTCTTATCATGAAATTAAGACTCATAGGTAAGAAAAATGTTTCGATTGCAGGACTATTTTGTGATATTTCATTTTTCTTGCTCATGCTGTTTTTTTAGCTATAGTTCTTATGTTATATACTTGAATGGATTTTTTTCTTTAAAACAATCTCCTTAAATAAAATTTACTTTTTCAAAACATTCCATTACAAACATACAACCGTTGTATAAATCACAGACCACAGAATGTACTTAAAACAATAAAATATTTTTAAGTTTTCACACTATTTCATATCTATGCTCGCGAATGTTAACATTACCTATCATAACCAACAGAGGTTTTTTGAGAAATAAAAAGTATCTGTTTAAATTTAAACACCCCCTATCTTCCCTTTTCCCTCATTCAATGAATTGTGTATATTTAAATGTGAGATCAGGAACTTCTCTTTGAAGTTCCTATACTTACTAAAAGATGCATCACAAATGGCACATATAAAATTATTTACAAGTTTCCTGATCGAAAAATTTTCTTTTTAGATATTAAGAATGATGAAGTACAATGTAGAACCTCTTCCGTTCGCCAGATATAATCTGCTACTCCTGCTCACCACGGGAAGGTAGAAGTTAGTCCAAATAATTATGACGTCTTGAAAGGCTATTTTAATTTTTTTTTCTGTGACGCCTTCCTACGACGTCCGTCATAGAAAAAAAATAAAATAGCATTTCAAGACGTCATAATTATTTGGACTAGGTAGAAGTATGATTCTGAGCAGGATTTATTTCTTAAAATGAGGAGTTTGTAACGTATAAAGTTTAAAACATTTTTTAATTGTAAAAACAAAGCTCTGTCATAAAACTTAAAACTTGGCAATGGCATTATTTACAAGTTAGTTCGGGCTTGGAATTTTAAATCCTAGGCTTCTGACATAAAAAAAAGAACCCTCGTTATTTCCTGCTGGCAGTACCGCGAATGCAAGTCTAGGAGATTCTGAGGTACATCAATATTCAAACTCCAAATGTTGATGTAAGTCACAGATTGTAATAAGAATTATTATAGAAGAATATTGATTGGTAAGTAGATTAACTCAGGACTTCACTACCATTATATAGCCAGAACCGGTCAAATTACTCGGGTAAAGTCAAATTAAATATATTTATTTTAAAAACTTATTCTTTTTTCTTACTTTTTAAAAAATGTTTTCTTAATTCATATTAAAGTATCACAGGAAATTTCGCTCAAACTTCCTATTTGAAAATCCAGATAAGGTTAATATTCCGGCGCTAAAATGTCCTATGATGTCGGCGCTCAAAAGACCCTATGTGATTTTTTTATTTTCGCTAAAATGTCCTATTCCCCTTCTTATATCCTTTGTCTCATAATTCTTAAATATTTGATATAAAAAAAACTCATCAAAGGCATTATGATCTGGTACGCCAGACGGGTGTGTATCGTCTACATAAGACTCATGGATCATATTGTATACAAACGCTTGAATATAAGTCTATTACCATCTATATAATTTAAAGTGAATAATATTAAATACTATTACATAACAGATCATTCGTTGAACCATAGATATAATAGCCATGCATTATACTTCATATTAACTGCACTGCGTTTAAGAATATCATTGAAATCTATTGTAAAATTTGTTAAATAACTCTCTTTTTTATAAATACAAAGCTTTTGACAAACTGTCATTTAAAAAATATATGGATTTAAAAGAGTAATTGAGTTAAACATTTTTATTATTTAAATTAACAGTTATTTTATACAATTTTGGGTAATATATGAATAGTGTTTAGTATATATCAAAGTTGGCATACGTAAATTAAGTGTATTGGATCTGGCGTTGGACCTTCTGGTCATAACCGATACCGTAACAGTGTATTCCTTCCACCAGAGTATTTTTTTCAGAGGACAAGCTACACTAGTGTATATTTTCCAGAGGAATTATTGCACCAGGTTACTTTTTCCATGCCTAGTGTAAATTATCCTTTGTTAAGATGTGCATCCAAAACACTTTTAAAAGAGTTTTTTAGAGGGGGGACTAGTAAAAAAAAAGGGGGCATGCTTATTTTTGGGGGTTGAAAAAAAGCAAAATCAGCATGAAAAAATTATTTATCATGTGGAAATTATACACTAGTGTAATTTATCTTGAAAAAAATACACAAATACAGGTATATCAATTTATGTTATCTGCATCTGACTGAAGTTATTCTTCAAGAAAATAAGACAATGAGAGACAACAAGTGATGTCAAGAAATTACCAAGTGCATGCATGAAAAAATAAATCTGTGGTTATCAAAATAAACAAAATTTATCTGTGTGTTTGTTTTGTCTCCCACTGATTTATGTAAAGACAACACTAGTGTAAATTTACTCTTCTGAAAATCTACACGCCGGAATAAAAGTACGCTTACAATATTACAGCAACCATCTGGAACGTAGTATGTGTACTCTGTTTCAATGATGTAAGAGCAAAGACTGGTTGGCTCTGAGTTAAAATAGTGCGTCCGTATAGAGGGACATGTAACGTTGTGAACTATGAAAATAAGAAGATGTGGTACGATTGTCAATGAGACAACTATCCACAAAAAAATAAATGTTATAGAAATTGATAACTATATATCACCGTACGGCCTTCAACAATGTAAAAACCCACAACGCATAGTCAGCTATAAAAGGCCCAGAATAACAAATGTAAATCAATTCAAACAAGAAATTAACGGTCTGATTTGTGTACAAAATAATGAACGAAAAACAAATATGATATACAGCAACAAACGACAACTACTGAATGACAGGCTCCTGACTTGGGACAGGCACATACAGGTTGTGGCAGTGTTGAATTACTTTTGATGGCGCCAACCCTCCTCCTAACCTATCACGTTTAAAATCCGTTTCAACGTTCAGTTCTATACAAGGTACGGTTCATACTCATATCATCTTGTATTAATATGTATGTAATATTTTCCACTGGACGTTAAATTCGGGCCTCAGCTGGCCCCTAAACAAAAATGCATGCAATATTTTTCACTGGACGCTTACTTGTCAATCGATCGATTTAAATTTTGAAAGCTTTACACGATCACAATTATTTTGACAATCGTAATAAAAACTGAATTTGAACGCAATTTAACACTCGAAAATTCTAAACTAAAATCCACCTGCTTAATTAGTAAGAATTTAAAAGTTTTACGATTTTAGATAAAGGTAATATGAAATATAAACACGAACTTCTTATAAAAATATCTTATTGTAGTTTATTCAGATTTTGGGAGAAATTAATGTAAAGTATTCAATTATAAAATTTTAATTGAACATTAGATAAAACATTTAAAAATTCAAAATGTTGTTTACATTATTTATAAAAAAAGAAAACATTTCAAAAACCAATATTTAAATAAGTTATGAAAAAAAGTCAATTAAGTGCATCTAAAACATGTATATGAATATGTAGTACATACATGACCTCTCAATGAACTCGATATGCAGTTCGCATTCATCAAATTATTTGAGCCGTAGTTTCGGAGATTGGTAAGCTTCGTTTTACAATAAACAAGATCGGAGTAGATTCCGACAAGTATATGGTGTCGATCTCAAAATTGTCGATTAAAAAGTTAAGGAGTGCACGCTATGGCTATACATTAGTAAAGACTCTAATTTCAAAATGCAAATGAGTATTTGTTGTCTGTGATGTGTATGGACAATCAAGTTGATCACAAAGTTACCCTGAACACGAACATATTTTCGAAGTTCTGCTGTCGAAGGAGGACTAGAAATATAATTTCCTTCCAACACATTCGCTGATGGGTGGTCTCGATTTCAATTCGTCTCCTACACAATGTACTTGCATGAATTTGTTTGTTTAAATCATACTAGCCCTGTCGAGCAATCTTATTAATTTGTTTCTTTTTTATTGTAATCTAAATGAAAATCTGGGAAAATGTTTACAAAAAGTTAATTTAAATAGGTTTTTATCCATTAGAAGAACACATAACACAAAACCTAAACATCGAAATCAATAAACAAGTGACATAACATGGTTCTTTTTAAGAAAATACTAACACTGCTGACATGCAGGAGGCAGAGAGAGAACATCTCTAATGATGTTTCCAATCCCGTTTTGCTATTCTTGCAAATAAAATATGTTTAACCTAAGCTAATTCAATTTTCATTTGTACCAGATATTATTGTTGTCTGTGTAGACTTTATATGTATTTGTTGTCTGTGTATCATTGTATTTGTTGTTGTACCTGTATATTACCCTTCATCATTGTTTATTGGCCTTAATTTGTGCTTAAGGTAGATCGGTTGTCTTTTTCTGAGTATTTTTTCTGGGCATGTTGCAAAAAGACTTGTTTGGTTTAAAAATATTTTACCAAGTATCAATAAAAAAAACAATAGAAACATCTAAAACTTGAAAATTTAAGATTCAGCTATGAAAAATTAAGAATCGCGTGTATTTAAAATTTACCAAAATTCCTTTAAAAAACAAGGGCATACCATTATATTGAAATTGAAACTACAAATCGTGTTTTTTATGTAATGTTCAAGAAAATATGGCCCGCGACCCCCTATTATTGTCTGATAATTTGGAAGTTTTTATGAAAAGCTATTCTCTCATTGAATTTTAAGCAATTCTATCGTTTATTGTTTCCTCAATAGGGGAAACCTATTTTCCCATATTTTCCCCTATATAACCCATATAAAATAGCTGTGATTTCATTAATTTCAATGTATTTTAAAGAAAAAAACAAGGTCTGTGACCCCAGACTTTATATTGAAATTTGAAAGTACATTGCCCCAGAAGTCTTTTACAGACGTTTGAGAAAATCTATCGTCGAACATTTAGACATACCTTATTTCAATGATTTGTAAAATATCCGTTAGAAGCATATATACAACAAAAACATGATAATTAATATTCTAAAGAACTTAAGCACTCAGGCACAAACCATTCATCTTTTCAAGTGTGGTTTGAGTTTTGGGGGAGCGGTATTGAATTGATGGGTCCCGATAAAAAACACGCCCCAAGTCCTCCACTAAAATACGAATGGTTAGTACCTTAAAACATATTTAACAAAATCTATACAATAACGTACATTCGTTAAAAACCCTTACTATAATGAAGTTGTGTTATGCTTATTTTTTTGGCGATAGAATCAGGGGCATTTTTTTCGCTTTTTTTTCGCAAAGGATGTCACAAGTTACGACTGAAATTAATCGTAAGTTATACTCAAATGGTCATGACTAACAAGTTGTTTGTCTCGTTAGATTTTTTTTTTGTTATAATAGTCGCAGAATTAGAATTAAACTCTGGTTCATGTATTAACTTTTGTATCAGATCTTTTATGCATGGCTCCTAAGCCTGTTACGTCCTTGTTCTCATAAGGCTTTTGATGTAGCCCCCTTTCCTTCTTTTGGGGCATTGTGTTGTTCATACTTCTTCGAACTATGACTTTTTATTGTTCCTTTAGTATTTTTCTGTCTTAACAACCCTGATGGTGTGAGTTTAAACCTGGCACGTGATAGGTACGTACGTTCGATTGCCAGTTTTCCTGTCGGAGGTCGGTGATTCTCCCCGAGCTTCCTCTGCCATTCAAAACTGGCCGCAACAATATAGCTAAGAGTGATGAAAATGACGTTAAAACCCAACGATTAATCGATTCCGTCTTAAAGGGGGGTATCCAACACTTTGATCGTTGAGAATCTTGATTTCTTTTTACTTATTATAACACGTTCAGCTGATTTTTAGGGTTAACTTCCTTAGATGTTCTGTGCCCCCCTAAAACATTTTTGTTTTATTTTACAGATACCAGTTATGTAGTAAAAGTGATTGTAAACATATTATGGACGCTTGGACTGAAACCAATATGGAGTCTCCAAAAGCATGCTTTAACAGAGTAAGTCAATAATCAAATAAAGGAAAGGGTATGTTTAGGACGGGCATGCGTACTGCTTGGATACATGACAACTGTAGTGTTAAGCATACATTTTTTTTCGAGAAAGCGTGCGTGGAGTGACCGGAATTTCTATGAGAACCAACTGTTACTCTTATATCGCACCAACAACCTGCCGTACTCGGTCGAGATTATCTAAACTGTTTGACTCAAATAATGGTCATATTGCATTGCAATTTAACGTCCAGTGGCAACTATTACATGTAAACCAATACGAATGTTAAGGTAATATGAATATGATCCCTGCAATGTTTCCTCGTCATTCTACAAGGTTTCAAACAATAACGATGATATTTCAAATTCAGTTGTAATGTTATCAATAAATCGTCGTGTGAATCTTATAGTGTTATAAGTCTATTTTTTATAATAAATGGAGATAGCTATATATTTGATATCCAATTGCAATGATCTAGCTCCCTATACAACTATTATACGAGATTTGTACACTCTACGAGTTTTTGTCAAACCTACACTGTTCTATATCCATATTCCCATTGGATTATAAAAGCTTTTTCATCTAGTTAGTTCAGAGAAAAATGGTTTTAGAGTGTTGTATCTCCTCTTGTTTTCCTGAATTTTTGCTGTAAAATAATTGTTATCAAAATTATCTTCATAGTACTATGCTTAAATTGGTTGCATCGTTTGAACTCAATCTATGAGCAATTCTTAGCGAATCCAACAGTCCACCACGGTTAAAAAAATCCATGGTCTATCGCCAACAGAAATTAAGGGATACATTTCTAGAACAAAATTGTTTGTAGTGGAGTGTTCGATCACCAGAAAAGTGGATGCTTTATTTACCTTGTTAAGTAGCTTGTCTATTAAAAAAAACATCGAACAAAGAGTTAATCTTCATGTACGTAAATTCGATTCCTATATAACTTTAATGTGTCAGTCAAATATTTATGCGTTTTTAAACATCATATTTAATTTCTCAACAGTTAGAAAATTGAGAAACACATCATTTTAAGATTCACAAGAGGAAATCAAGAATTACGATCAGCTGTGTGCTCCTTTTGAGTTTGACAAGCAGAAAAGCCCATTCTGTCCGATTAATGTCGATTCACATATTTTCCATATTCTGTTTACAAATAAAATTTAGCAATTCTGCAAAAGTCCCTTTTATCTGCACTGTTGATGGCATTGTATCATGTATCCGGGATTAATACGAGACAGACATTTTGTTATATATCAGCAGATCATTATAAATCTAATAAAATCTATGATAATATGTGTGAATAAAAAGACTGAGGTTTGATCATATGCAGATGTTTTTTTTTTATAAATAATTAAGTAGATTTGTGTTATTCATTTTTTTTATATTTGTAGTTACGAAAAGTTGTTGACTTGAAACGAACGTCAAGTGACAGTGCTGTTCAAGATTTGAACAAGGCTTCACATGTGCCTATTCCATACGGAAAAGCTCCGTACAGATCCCGGAAAGCCAATAAAATATTACTGAAAAATCAGTCTACACGACCGGTTCCCAGAGGAACATGGATACCAGGTGTAAATGACGAAGATATTGTCAAACCAACACATTTTATGCCATCCGAAGCACCGCCATGTGAGTTTTACAATTTGTTAATATTTTTTTGTGAAGTTTCAACCTTTATAAAAATAAATGCACGGTGATCATAGTTGCTTGCATCTACATCCTTTGATCTCTAGTGGATAATTGTTTCATTGGCTATTATACATCTCCTTGTTTTTGTACAGTATCAATACTTCCAATAAAACCATGGCCAGCTATGTAGCGATTCCAAAGAGTAATGTCGGTCTTCAGCATTCTAATTTAATACCATTTATTACCGTTTGATGGGAATAAGTATTTGTTGCTGCAATGAACTTGTTGAAAGATTTAAAGAATACATAAAAAGGGGGTGGCAATCAATTAAAAAAACATACTTGAAAGAAAGACAGACAACCCGATTGGCAAAGAAAAGAAACATTTAACAAAAATACGTCCAGAAAAAAATATAAAAACAGAAATTTAACCTGAAAATAACCATGTCGAATATTCAAATAATATATTTCCTTAATTTTTTTAATTTCTCCTGCTGAACATAATTTTAACCAATTTCCATGATTATATCGAAATAAAGTATAAGTACATCAAAGAAATAAATGGTAAAGTTTTATATTTGCCTACCACTCTTGCTTTTCATTTCAATAAACGAGGTAGTATGACCTACATACAAAGAGTACAGATTCGTATTGAATTATTATTCAAGAGTCACATGTTATATTTTCAGCTACAATGAGGCAACATCAACGGCGTGTTTTATCTGCTAGTTCTTGTCCAAAAAGTTTGTGTTCATCATTCAACAGTCGATTCATGCTTCCGGGATATACTTCAACCTCTGATTCATCAAGCGAGGAACCGATCGCAATTAAAGACGATAGTGAAGTACACATCCGCCATCCAAAACCATCAAATATCCGAAAGTCCAAGTCAATGCATGTTGGAACTTGCCAACTGATTCAAGTAAGCGAGTGTAAAGAAACACGATTTAGCACACTGCCTCGTCGGATACCAGTAAAATCAAACAATAATGCAAAAGAATTGAATCGAGTACCAGTTTTTGATCCCGATGAACTGGATTCTTCGATCAATAATTCTATGGATCCTGGGTTACCAGGTATGTGCGACGTTACGCCTCGGCCTTTATCGAAAGGTCAGAAAAGTTGTACATGTTGTAGTCTATGTGAAATTATGTCTCCTAGATTAATAGATTGCAATCCAAATTCAAAAATCCAGAACTGTTCATGTGAGACATGTCTGTTTTACTCTAAAGGACGAACCGGATTAGTGCAATATAAACATGGTGACGTCATAAAGACGTTTAATTGGTTAGAACGGACTGGCAAAGAAACAGAATTGTGAATGTGATATCTTGGGATCCAATTTTATCACCAATTTTCTAAATTTCTCTGGTAGGGTAAAATAAATGATTAAAACTGCTTAAGTATTAATGCTCTTCCTTCAATATATTATATATAGGTAAGTTTAAGGCCTTTGCAATTTTTTTTCATTAAACTATTCATGGCCGGAATCATGTCAATTTTAGTACTACGAGGCTTAAAACTTTTTCAATTTATAATTTCTCACTATACACTGAGTAAAATATATGATTGTTCATAGCGAAAAAAAAAGGTATTAACATAAATATCGAACTCCAAAATAAATTAAAAAAGGGAGAAGTCAATAGCATCTGACAAAACCAAATGCACGACTATATCGATTGATTGTAAAGGAGGAAGATAATGTTATTTGAATATCGGACCTAAACTCCTAATCAGCGCTGAACTACTTTACTACTATTCCGGAGTTCGTATACCTAAACCTGATATTTATTTTATAGAAAAACAGACAGCTGTCCAGTCTTAATTTCATGACTCTTATGAGGGTCTGGATTTGGGCCCTTCATTTTTGTATTCTTAAATATCTGAATTGATTTTTCTCTATGTTTTATATTTTTTGCCCATTTCTCTCTAACACTTTATATTTTAGCATCCCAATATTCTCTATTTATTTAATTTCTAACCCGATTTTTCTCTTTTATATTTTTTGCCCGTTCTTCTCTATTCTTAATATTTTAGCACCCCATTATTAATTATTTTTATTTTTTTACCCTATTTTTCTCTAATCTTTATTTTTTGGTTGATGTTTTGTTGTTGATACATTCGGCCCATAATTCCTTATTCTGTAAACCCCATTCAGACTTATGTCTTTGCTTCATGGATGCCCAGTAGTATTCAAACTTAATAAAGTGATAGATCAACACAATACAATGGTTTATTGCAAGGCAAAACAGATAGGAAAGGTATAGTTTGGTACCGTTTAATTCGTGATTACTTCGTCTATATTAAAAAGGTGAGTTCGGTTCTGTACACATTATCTGTAATTTAAATAATGGTAATGGGAATACATATGAAACGTGATGCCGTTAACGCAACATATGCTCCTGGAATATATCGGTACAGAACACTAAGCGAGTTACCTCTTTAAAATCAGCTGAACGTCTTAATCACCTACTATTTGTAAAGAGAAATAAAGATTCTCATTGGTAAAAAGTAGTGTTTGTCAAACTGCTTTTTATCAAATAACCCGAATAATTCAGTTGTTATATTCCGCTGATCTACGATTACTACATTAACAAGTTCTCGCACGTAGGAGAGATTGATTACGGGGAGGGACTGAATTATTCAGGTTATATATCCAATGAAATTATTCATGGAAATTTTGTGGTTCAAATGTTATGAAATTTTTATATTATTGTCAACAGGTCAAAGTAAATTTTTTTGTCAAAATTTTATGAAATTAAACGAGTCAAGTGTTTTTAAGTCAAAGTGGTGGCTTAAGGCAAAGGCTTAAGGTACACTTAAAACCAAAAGTAAGCAGGAGTCAGAAATGTAAAAAAGGTCTTAACAGAACAGCCAAAACCTCACCCGAATAATTCAGTCCCTCCCCGTAATCGATCTCTCCCGCTACTTGTGAGGTAGCAATAAACAGTTAGGAAAAAATATTAAAATTTACCCTCATAAATTTTACCATCCCCTTTTCATTGCCTTCTTGCAATATTAAGCTTACTGTTTGTGTCATATATGTGTATATGTATGTAATCAGAATCTTCCAGAGATTTCATATCCAGTATATAAAAAAGTAAAATATAATTTCTTTTTGGTGTATCCATGGCAACAATCTGCATTTTTTTGTTATAAAATAAAGCAAAAAGGGGGAAAAGATGTGACATATTTCCCCAAAATTTGACCAAAAATAGAATTTCAATCACTTCAAGTAATACCTTTTCTGAAACTGTTTACATATATCTTTCAATAAATCCAATGAAAATCATATGTCTTTCGTCTCATTTTTTTGTAAAATTGCGTTAAAAACTTCATGTAGAAAAAAAGTGTTTGTAAACATTACATTAATGTCTGGACCGATGACCGGTCTAGCTATGAAAATACGGAGAGTCAAACAGAAAATAGCCCATAAAACATGTAAAAAATAATTCTGATGTTCTTATAAACCACCTTTGAAGGCTAAATTAGTACTCAGCTGTCTAAAAATGAATTTTATTACACAATAACTTTCATATATGAAAAATCCACCGGGGCCAAAATGCGAAACCAAACTCCTAACTGTGTATTGCTACCTGAGGGTCAGAATTCCTATAACAATAAGAACTCGTCTAGAAAACCGGATGTTGATTGATGCCCGAGCGAATTAAGTATGATTAATTGACGATTCTTCTGTGCATGGAGGCGTTCATGAAGGTATCTTAGAGCAGCTAAATATAGCCACTGAATTAATCTGGTAGGCCAAAGTATAAACCAGGCTTAAAATTGATTAAGATAGAAGTAAAAACTCACAAAAGATACCAGGCCTAAAGTTGATCAAGACAGATGCCAAAACCCGCGGCCTCAGGTTAAAATATGTTGTCTGAAGAAGTAAAAACCATAGTTTAGTATAAATAAATAATTTATAAACTGGTAACTTTTTAACACAATGGTGTTAGGCATTTTAAAGAAGAACACACACCATAACTTAAGATTTATTAATAATACAATTATAAGAGGTGGGTGACACGTCGGTGTTTATTTCGCAAATCCCGCTTTTTTAATTGCTTTTCCCCACATCTACTATTTTCTTGTTGCCCAGATCAGCTTTTTCACCCCCTATATCCCAAATCGCACTTTATTACCCCAAATATCCCACATTCTGAAATCCCCCTCCCTTATATTCCGCATCCAGAAAGCGTGTCACCCCCCTCTTATTAGTTGTGAACTTGACATATTTCTTCTGTCATGGTAATAAAGGAATCGAACGGAAAGTTAAATGCTTTATAATACATCATGATAATATAACACAAAAATGCTGATATTGATTCCGACGACAAATGCAGCAGTTCATCAATAATACATCATATATCTATTTAGTCAAATCCAGAAAAAAAAGTGACACTTTAGCCACTTCATGTTCGTGCCAAGTGTCGCGAAGACAAAGGTCACCTGTAATGAGCTGAGAGAGGGAAAATTTTAGAAGGTGAACATTAATTTTGAAGTTTGATAGTTTATGATCCATTTTTTGCTGCTTCCTTTAAGGGTTTACGATGGTTTCGATAGATCTGTTTGAAAAGTTTTATGCACAATATATTGTACATATAGGGACCCAGAAAGTTTTAACTGGTTTAATACGTTATGAAAAAGTTATGTAATTTCAGAACTTACCCAGATTGGAATAAATAGCGATAAAGTGTATTGTATTTACACTATATCATAAAAACGTGGAATAAAATAAACTATTTAACAACAAAATAAAACATGAATTGATGAAACTATTCTGTAATGATGATGCAGTGTTTGTTTGTCTACAGTGATCTTTGTTTTGACCAACACAAGATGCATATGCCATGACGTGGGCGACATAATGTTGCTCCTGGACCCCATATATCAGATGTGCCATTGGACCCTGTGCATAAATGGCGACGTCTTCTCCTCCGTGGGTTTCGGATTTCAAAGGAACTCCACTATTTCGGACATAATCTTTGTCATCTAAACGAAATAGTATATTAACAATTATTTTGAAGGAACGACAATGCTTTGTAAAGAAATTGGTCACATCTGTGAGGAACAGATAGACTTGAAACTGGCACTGAAATGTCTCTTACTAAGAACGCTTTTTTCATTTGAAATATAATTAATCCACATGACCTGTTTTAATATAACTGTTCTTTTCAGTCATATGACTTAGTAAACTTATACTCCTTATAATTATTATCCGTTGAATTATTTTTTTAAATACACTGTGACATGGATACCATTGAAAAGTCTTGATCCATTAGAAATTTTAAGCTATAAAATATGTTAAAACCAACAAAACTTTGAAGTCAAGAAGCTATTTAAGGCCTATAAACTCTACTATAAAAATGAGATGTGGTATGATTGCCAATGAGACAACTCTCCACCAGAGACCAAATGATATAAAACTTAAGAAATATAGGTCACTGTACGACCTTCAACAATGCGCAAAACCCATACCGCATAGTCAGCTATAAAAGGCTCCGAAATTACAAATGTAAAACAATTCAAACGAGAAAACTAACGGCCTGATTTATGTACAAAGCAATAAACGAAAAACAAAAAATGATAAACAACAACAAACGACAATTGTTTGTTGTTAACCACTGAATTACAGGCTCCTGACTGTGGCCAGGCAAATACATTATGTGGCGGGGTTAAACTAGTTTTCTGGCGTCAAACCCTTCCCTTTACATCAGACAGTGGTGTAACAGTGCAAAATACATATAAACTATATAAAAATCTTTGTTTTTGTGTGATGATGACATAAAAATTAGCTTCACAAGAAGAGTGTAAAGAAGCTAAAATTGTTCTTCAAATAAACGTTTTTGGTTTTTCAGTAATATCCGCCCAGTAAACTATTTTCATATAAACGACTTTTGACTCCAGTGTATACAAGTTTTAGACAGGACCAGAGGTAGGATATCTTGGTACTTAGACAAGTTAGAGCAACTACAAAAAGTAAATCAAGCTTACAATCGGTGCAATTAGGGGGAAAATCAAATGTTTTCGGATGTTTTTTTCGTGTATAGAAAACATAAAACAGTTAATTGTTTCCTCAAATTGCACCGATTGTAAACTTGATTTTACTTCCTTAGTTGGTCTCACTTGAACAAGTACGAAAATTTCTTAACAGAGTGTGTAACCTGTCGAAAATCCATAGTCAAAAGGCTGTAATAGGAAAATAGATTATTGAATAATGCAATAGCTTATTAACTATGTTGATGGCATGTATCTAATTGAACTTGAAATAAATGATATGACAGATATAGTTATGTCTGCCTCAAATCAAGACTCAATAATGACTTCAATATCAATGGACACTTACAAGATGTTGTAGCAACATGCATGTTCTTGTTTTTTTTTTTTTTTTTATCCCATTATGCAGATTTTCATCGAATTTTACATGTAATGTACAGCGGCACAACAGGTACATCTAATGAAACAAGAACTGCATACATGGAGCAGGTTCATTCTTGTCCATGTTGGATTAATCATATTTTATTTTATCATCTTTTCAATGATTATATTAGGTTTTTGACTTTCAAATAATTTTGGCCTCGAGCATCACTGAAGAGACATTAATTGTCGAAATGGATGCCGTAAAACTGATATCTCTTCATTCTCTGTTGTTTATTTGTCTGTTGCTCAGATTTTTTATCTTCTGTAAAGTGGTTCGGGACTGTTGATTATCTTTTCGAGTTTTTGGTGCTATCTGCCTTCCTTCGACACATGGTTATTGCTCATCTCGTCGTCAGCTTCTTTCGTTGTATGCAGACAGAGGTAAATAAACATTGCTTCTAAACAATACAAAACACCAAAACATAATGATTAACGACATAAAATGCTGATTATATGTTTACTCACGTAAATCTTCTACTTCATCTAATGGGTCAGTTCTTCCTGACCCTGACGTGTTAAATCCTGGTCCATTAGCATACAATAGTGTAGTATAAGCTTTGCCGTCTAACGGATACCATTGACGAAAAAGAGGGTCTACTACACCTGAAATCACAGAATAAAAAAATAGTGCTCTAAATTCAAAACTTGTGTATTTAACAGAGTATTTTGAAAAGGACTGTTTTGGTTCTCCTCTGTCTAATGTGGAAGGATCATATGAAATTTTCCGAAAGTATCAATGTTCTTTATTTTTTTTACTTTTGATTAAAAACCTTTCAAAAGAAATTCCTAACATCAAATAAATAAAAAGTAAATCACGTTTATAAGCAACAACTAGTTAAAAGATTAATGCATTTTACACAATTTACAGCTGCCAAAATCCTTTTTTAAAGTCAACAAATGTAAAATAATTTCACCTAGTATGTCATTGCCTCGTTTTGGATATCCAGCAATATTGAACACATGAGAGTGGTCGGCAGTGACGACAATCAATGTTTCTTTCTCATCAGTAAGTGCTACAGCCTCTCTCACGGCGTCTTCCAAGCTTAATGTCTCATACAAGGCTTTTTTAGCTTTTCCATCATGATGTCCATGATCAATACGACCGCCTAAAATTAAGGGAATTGTACATTCATGGATTTTATAAAGTGTCTGTAAGGTATGTATGTCCTAAATCAATTAGCCATGGTCAAATGATATATGAGTGTAATAAACTATAGGAAAATATTAATGAGAAACGTACTTCAGTTGAGCCTATTCATATGCTTTAAACAACTAAAAAAGAAAGCCAATGAAATTGATAGCAATGAGAAGCTGTAAATAATATGAATGTACATAAAGAGTAACATTTTTTTATAATAATTAATTTCTTCTTTACATATCCAAACTCTGTTCAATAACTGCCTGTATTGATTCTTTTGTACTGGACGCACATTTGTATTGACTGACACGTTTACTTTACCTTCTACCATAAGAAAGAATCCATTATCGTTTTTGCTAAGTATCTGAATTGCTTTCCTGACTAACTCGGGCAATGAAGGTTCTCCTTTATCACTGTGGTCCCGTTCTAATTCATAGTCTAGATGGTCTAGCTGGAAAAGTCCTAAAACAGAAGGGAACTGAGCAATTGTGTAATTCGTGTAGCGTGTTTTTGTTTTTTTTAATTTTGAACGAAGAATTTGTTTTGTAGTTATCAGAATGATTCAGTTTACAATCAAAATAAATGACAAACATATATTTTCATTTCTTTTTTATAATTTGGCAAGTTTTTATTCCTTTGGGAAGTTACAAACGCAATTGTGATAAAATAGATAGTGTTTGTTGACATCAAATATTTCTTCATTCATCCTAAAACATTTAATTAGGAGAATCAAAAGAGTGGCTTTAACAGAACGACATCAGTCGGCTAACATCAGTGCCACCTGAGAAATGTTCAGTTATGATTTGAATATGATTGCCAAATACATCAATTGATAATTTGCAATCAAAAAGGGTCTTTACCAAAACACTGGTTGAATGAATTGAATGATCTTTATTCTCATAAACCAAATTCATAGTTACAGAGAAGATATTACAATAATAACAAATATTAAATATAGCATGTCTGGTTGTTGTATGGATAATACAATCAGGATTGACAGTTTGTTATCAGCAGCTTATAATATAAACATATGATTAAAACCAATTTTCAAGTCAGGAATATGACAGTTGTTACCATTCGTTACGTTGGTTGATAAATTCGAGAGTTTGGTTTTGTCAGTTTGTATGGCCTACCCCTTGATGAATACACTTTATAGTTCGGTATCATTGTTTTTTTTTCTTTTTTTCAATGGAGACAAGTGTGCTTAAAAATAATCCACATCACGCATGCTAGACCTGATTTTTCTTTAAGTCAAGGTAATAAAACATTTAAAGTATCCACACCTAGCAATTATAAAATAAAATGGAATCCAAAATCGAATCAGCAGTTTAAGTTATATATAGCAATAGTTTACCAGTATTCTAAAAACTGTTAGAAAAATATAAAAATTATATAATTAAAAGATAGAAAACAAAAACTTGGGAAACCATATGTACTCCAACCAGAGCAAGACCGGGTTCGTCAAAAAAGGTGAGGGTTTATTGTTATGCATTAATGACATGCTATGCGAATTCGCACACAGTCAAATTGTCACAATAGAGTTTAGGATTGGTTGATTGATTAATGTGAAATACACAAATCAAAAGCAAAACGACAGGTTGAAAACATTAGAAATTAAAATTTCATTAAAATTAGACTGATATCATGTGTTCTGGAAGGGTAAGCATGCAAACGTTTATTTGTGATTTTGTTTTCTGGAATGTTTTATTTCACAATCTGTCTTTGCAAAAGTATGTTTTTTTTTGTTAAAAATGAAAAAAATACTCTTTACATGTGTGTACTAATTTAGGTCGTTTGATTATTTTTTAAGGTTTTTTGTAATTTGCGCGCGTCGTTGTTGAAAGCATAATAAATCAGCCTTACCTAGTAAGTAATCTGTTTTTGCTGGATCTATAGCGTTGAAATCCGAGTTGTTCCAAACATATTTGTAAGTAGCACCTCTTTCCTCTTTGTCTAATTTCCACATCTGGTCGGATAGAAAAAACAAGAATAATTATTGAAATCTGTGTTGTGGAAAGACAACAACACCTAAGGGTTACAACCCTTAAAGACTACACAGAACATTACATAAAACCTTACACGAAACACCAAACATTGGGTTACACGTGACTCACTTTAAACCCCACGTCAATTCCAATGGGTGAATAAGTGAAACTGGCCGTGGCTTAAGGCATTTGCTCCTTGTGCATTTCCTTTTAACGTGGAAAATAAAAAAAAAGAGGGACAGAACATATAAATTACTTTTTTGGAAGATATCAAGGACACATGAAATAAATGGATGAAGGTTGAAAAGTAAAAAAATATACAAAACTTAGAATTTTTAGAAATATTAAGGATTTTCTACCCCAGGAATAGATTACCTTGGCTGTATTTGGCAAAACCTTTCGGAATTTTGGGTTCTCAATGCTCTTAAACTTTGAACTTTATGTGGCCTTTTTATTTTTTTTTCATTCGAGTGTAACTGATTAGTCTTTTGTAAACGAAACGCACGTCTGGCGTACAAAATTTTAAGGGTGGTATCTATGATGAGTTTATTTACTTAAACACAAAAGGGGGTTCATGCCACAATTCAAACGTCTATGCCAATTAAAATTAGTCAGACCATGACAACATATTGAATATACCATGCAATTTTACAAATGATCGGAGTAGCTATGGATATCGTGAAAGTATGTTGTCAGCTGATTAGGGAAGAGGCTCGGGTAATTCTTTCCACGGTTAAAGGGATATAACTCAAATATTTATCTGAACAATACAAACCTGTATGAGATCTAAACCGTCGCGTCTGCCTTTCGCACTGTTGACCTTTTTTGTTTCAGGGTCAACAGACGTGTTTGTCATGAAATACTGTCTACCGCCACCTAGTATAACCTAAAATGTTTAAATGTCTATATAATTGTTATATTTTTAAACCAAAAAAATCCGCAAATAAATGCTGTTTAAATGTTCATCTGATCTGATTTTCATTTTGTTAGAACATTATAACATCGCAAACCATAACAATAATTATACAAGGTTCTTTTTTTCAAATGACGAAAACAAAACAAACCAAAAAGTAAATAACAAAATAAACGTGTGAAAGCTACAAACGTATACATGCAAATAATCTAAAAGCCAAACACATGGCACACAATACGTTTTTTAGAGAACATTTTTTTGTTTTAAAATGAGTATCAGTTTTAAAAATAGAATGTTTCAAAAGAACAATTAGTGCTTTAATCATCTACCCTATGTAGGTTTTAAGACGTGCAATGCAGGTGGTCTTTGAAAATGAGTTTCTGATTGAAAAAGATATAAAACCTGAAATAAACAGGAACTATGAAGCTGTTTTTCCAATAATTTAGAACTTTGCTTATATAAATAGTATCGATTATTTTTTTAAAGTGTTAGTGTTTGGAAATAAAGAACAACCATAGTCATACACAACAATACTTTAAGGTTCATAGCTATACATAATTAAAAAAAAAATAGAATTGAACCACAGAGAACACCATCGTCTTCGGGAATTGAATTATCATATTCTATAGTAGGCACTTACTTTTTCTCGATTCCTTGTTATACAAGCATACACATATCGAGACACATATAGAGTAAATCTGACGTAGATATGTGCTGCTGTTGAAAATATTAACTGTCCACTTTATGCAGCTCATAGTTGATCCTATGTACTCACCAATTCTGCAGTCTACTACCGTGGCAAGACATTCTCCATTTCGTATGTCTCAGGCAATGACAGACAAGTAAACGTAGCTGATGTCTCTATTTTTGCAAGTGGGTATACTGCTGTCGGTTCTTCGAAATTGCATAGTTTCCTTAAACTTCCATTTACTTATGTGTTGTTTTATACGTCTATTTTTCCAATAAAGGTAATAACTTACTGACCTGATGTCGTAACTCGACTTGTGAAAAAATATTTTGTAATATTTTTACGATGGAAATCAAATAACTTATGGATGCAAACGGTTTCAGCCATTGTCTTACCTTTAAGCAGTATATAATCAAACAATGTTTTCTTTTTGTGGGAATGGATATATTTTGTTAGTTTAGATAAAATTTCGAAGTTACGAAAAAAATGGCGACCAATTGATTTTCAAACGTAGACGATCTTCGACATTTGTTCATTCAAATAATTAAATTTAACTCCAGTGTTTATATTACAATTAAATTTGATACGTAATTGTTATTCTAATAATACCCTAGTGCATAGCTAGATCAAGGAGATATAAAGTCATAACACCGACGTTATCAAAGAAAACAAACATGGCACCTGATCAAGACAAGATTTTGACAAGACCTATGTAGTTTAGTTTTGTCCGATTCTAAATGAAATTATTTCATGATTTTATTAAATTAATAAAAGACAACCTCAAATGGATGTTAACTGAAGTCAAATGTATATATTTTTCAGTTTTCTAAATCCTCTGTCACACGGGTAACTAGTAAATATACATAATCCTAATTAAACCAGTAATTAACATGCAGAGGTACCGAATCTAAATATGACAGGAATAGTTGCATATGAAATGCTAAAATCCGTTTTCTTATTGTTTAATGGAGATTGCCAAGTCAATCTTACGAATAGATATACGGTGGGAAATAGATAATTAAGACAAATTCTCATTGATATGTCGGGTCTATGGAAATTCGCGGTTTTCAACAGCAGCAACGATAAAACGGCGGGATGTATTTACTGTATATATGTATACTCTAATAAAATGGATTCTGGAAAAGCAACTTCTTATTTAAAAATATGATCACGCAAATCTAGAAAACCATGACGATTTCTAGGGTACAATTTCAATTATTATAGTTTTATCAACGTTTCTTGAACTGGTCAGAACCGATTAAAATATAAAGAATTGGAGAACCTATACTAACCTGCATATCAGACAGGTCTTATATAAGTAAATATGCTCTACTTACCTGGATATCAGATTGGTCTTCTTTGAGTAAATATGCTCTACTTGCATGTACCCGCATATCAGATTGGTCTACTATGTGTTGGTATGCTCTACTTACCCGCATATCAGATTGGTCTACTATGAGTTGGTATGCTCTACTTACCCGCATATTAGATAGTCTACTATGAGTTGGTATGCTCTACTTACCTGCATATCAGATTGGTCTACTATGAGTTGGTATGCTATATCTTTGCACTCGCCATGATCAGCTGGTAGTTTAATATCACTCTCCCATTCTCTCTGTGGTGCATGAGCGTATGCTGCAGCTGGAGTAGCATGTGTGACACGTGTAGAAGTCACTATTCCTGTACTTTTACCTAAAGCACAAGCAATGATTTGATGATAGTGAACAACAAAACCAAACAAACACAATACCTTTTCGCTCGCCTTCTTTAAAGATGAAACAATCAAGTAGTATAATATGAGCTATAATGCTGCAAAATACCAATATTAATAGGAAAGTGGACATTTTAAATATTTCATGAATGTCACGTGGTACAAGACTCCTGGTATGACGAATGGCGTAGACAACGAAGCTGATCAATATGTTCTCGTTACAATTGCAAAGTATGGCTAAGATAAAATTAAATATGCCAGTTTATGAAATTGTGCGATTACATATTTACGGTCGTCTCCAACCGGTGCAATTTAGAGCTTAACATTTCGTTTGGTGAAGGCCACTTGATATCCATATTTAGTAAATCTGGTTCATGGGATAATGTTTATACACCTACAGTACATTTCCTTATTCAAATGAGATTAAATCTAACAAGTGAATAATAGCGTTACAGGTAAATACAAACTATATATTCAGGTGCCTTCTATAGCATAGTATGGGTTTTGCACATTGTTGAAGGGCGTACCAGGGGCGGATCCAGCCATTTATAAAAGGTTCCTAACCCAGGATAAAAGGGGAGGGGCTGTTCCAACTATATGTCCCCATTCAAAATTCAAATGCATTTATCGTCAAAAAAGTGTATATGCATTTATTAACACAAAATGAAATAAACAAACCAGCAAATTTTGACCAATTCACCATGCCATCCACTTTTGCATTTTTAATTGAAGAACAATTTGCATATTTGGCTCTTCCATCAACACCTATTGTATAGTAGTTTGCTTTAATACCCGTCATAAGGGCGGTCGCTGTTGCACCCGAGTCTGGTGTCTGTTTGTCTATGTTGTAAGTCTGCAATTATAAAAAAAAATATCAAGGTACTGTGTGAACTATTACATATTCATATTAATTCTATCAACAGCTAAACATGACCGATTAAATGATATATGGATGACAACAGACGCGGATCCAGGATTTTGAAAAGGAAGCAGCGGGTCTGGCAAGCAAACATTTTGAGTGATTCTTGTATTAAGTCTATGCATTTATCATATTTGAAGCTCCATAAGTTGGTCCCCCCCTAGCGGTCCCCACTTCTAAATCTGCCTGTGGCTAAACATCCATCTGCTTATACTCAGGGATGGAAATCAAGATCTCCGATAACCGATGCAAGACATGCTAGCTACCACCTGACAACCAAAGTAGTTGCCAAAAGATGGAAGATGAACTTGTCAGGAATATGACAGTTATTTTCCATTCGTTTGATGTGTTTGAGCTTTTGATTTTGCCATTCGATAAGGGACTTTCCATTTTGAATTTTCCTTGGAGTTCGGTATTTTTGTTATTTTACTTTGTCCATATGTGGAAATATGTCACTTAAATCAAATCTCTATTGATTTGATATTCCAGAAAGATATTCCGAAATAACTTGTTTCAAACAAGCGATTTTTTCGAAAGGGCGGTGATATTTCTTGAGGAAACTCACAAGATTATCTTTACCTTAGTACGTCATATACGATAAAATATATAACTTAAAGATAGAATTTCACAGCAATTGTTTAAAATGTAATTTTCTTAACAAATGATATTGTTTCATTACAGAGCAAAAATGCAGACACTATTCATGAAAAATGTCTCATATCTCGCATATTGAACTCTTTTTGTTTATGTATATTTTCCGCAACACCTGCTGTTTTCGTTTTGTAAATAGATAGATATGAAACAGATTCTCTATTGGCAAATTGTATTCCATAGTAAGGAATTCTGGTCTATTTTTAGGTAATTTATAACTTGCGTATATTGATCAATATCGTTTATCCGACCTGGTATATAAAGTTCTCTTTTCAGAAAAACGTTATTTTTTCGACTGGTACTACAGTATAATACGATTCCCAAGGGCTTGGCATTTTTCGGAACATTCTAACAAGAAAGTAAGCTATAAACCCGCTATGCATGATTATAACGGTTTTCGTTTTGACGTTTATGTAAATACAGTCGCCATAATGACTTTGTTGACTAGTTTTGGAATATCTATTTGAATAAAAGAAAATGTATGTCAAAGAGACAGCAATCCATCGACACAAAGAAACGAAATACGTCTTGAGTGCTTATAATATGCCAAGCCTTAGATCTAGAGTCTTCACATTTTTGAATACATTTTGCAGGGACTATCAACACACAATTCCACAAATGTGCGGCATATAAAATAGTTCTTCCGGTCAAGGCATTATTTCTAGCGACTATCATTACCTTGGCAAGAGCGACATGTGGAAACTTTTCAAACTCTAAAACAGTTTCCTCTCCGGGTCGACCTTGTTTCTGACCCCGCAGTATCCTGGCTGCTGTAACAGTTGACACGCCCATCCCATCACCGATGAACAAAATGACATTCTTAGCCACATTAGTGTTGAGCTTACGATTCAGTGCATTCTTTAAAATTTCTTGAGATTCTTTCCTCCATACGTATGCTTCTGAAATAAAGAAAAATGGTACTTTGATATTTGGTTTATCAATCGACACTGATCGTTCTATACCCCAAGGAAAGATTGAAGTATAGATTTTTTACAACCTGGACTTTTCTCGTTCAAAAGTTACTCGTGCTGACTGACCACTGTGACTGACGTCCGTTTGGCTTAATATTATTTCTATAAACATGATAAATACACAGCCACATCTGGTTGGAATAAGGACGTTAAATTAGGTGCCACATCTAGTCAGAATCACGTGGTCAGAATATGGACGTTAACGTTGTAGAGCGTCATTCATTCTGCTCGTGAAATGACACTTGAAAGAAATGGCTATCAGGAGTCTTTATGTGATGTATTGTATACCGTTACATTTCTGCCCTTACAGCAAATTATCTCCCTCCAGTTGGCTACCAATCATTCAAACACCTCGGATGATTCCGCCACACTTCTAAGTGTGCAGGTTCAGAACCAGTATTTTGAAAGGGGACCGAACAAGACAACATTAGGACTTGGACTTTATGTCTATGCATTAACAATCATAGCTAGGTCCATAAGGGGCGTCCCCTAGCCTTTATTAAATCTGCCTCTGGTGTTTGAGGAACGAACCACCGGATCTAGGACATCGAGCATCACTGGCCCTTCATTCCAGAGGCACCTCATGGGGGTGTCCAAGTAATCACATAATAACAAATGTTTTGCCAATATAATGATATTATCATTAATTTTTTTTAACAAGATAATCAAATAATCAAAAATACAGTCCTAGATTATCAAATAATCAAATAATCATGAAATATTTGGTCTGGTAATCAAATAATCACTATAAATACGGCCAAGTAATCACATAATCAAAAACCCCATGAGGAGGCTCATTCCAGTTCGTTCATTCAGCTGAAACTACGTTTATTTTCAATTTATCATTAATTTAGGTTCTTTGGGCGTATGATACGCAAGCAAGAATAACGAATAAATCAATGTAGGCGAAAATATATCCTTGGTGCAAAACAGATCAATGGAAACGATATTTGCTTTAATAACTACCTTATTTTATATCCTTTCTCCCTTTTCGGTCTACAAATTTGTATGTAGTATTTCTTTTTAAATCGAAAAGCGGCGAACAAAACTTTCGATCTACAAATTAACATGCTAAACCCTGCTTAATAAACCTGGAAATCGCTGAAGTTAAAATTCAGACCTATCCCATCTGGCGTGCTCGTACTCATATGAGGACAACGAAATCAGAGATATATATATTAATTATATTGTAAACCTGGCGGTGTAATGTATTCATCTCTCGAACTACAACTCCACTTTATCAACCTTGGTGAGTAATGTCTTCTTCTTTCGGTCTACAAATCGACATCTCTCCATCCCACTTTGCTTATTTACATCGTCACATGTTAACAGAAATAAGAAGATGTGGTATGAGTGCCAATGAGTCAACTCTCAACCCAAGTCACAATGTGTAAAAAGTAAACAATTATAGGTCAAAGTACGGCCTTCAACACGGAGCCTTGGCTCACACCGAACAGTAAGCTATAAAGGGCCCCAAAATTACTAGTGTAAAACAATTCAAACAGGAAAACCAACGGTCTAATCTATATAAAAACGAGAAACGAGAAACACTTAAGAACCACATCAACAATGGACAACCACTGAACAACAGGTTCCTGACTAAGGACAGGTGCATGTTTGTTTTATTTCAATCTAGTGCCAAAAGCAAAGTTTGATTTTCCTCGAAAGCTGTACTGACAATTATAAGATCTATGTTCTTATCGGTGTTGAATAAAAGGACGGTGTCATTTTGAGGAGCAGGAACCCGTATTCCGCGTTCTTAAATGGAAATTATACAAAAAAGGAACGCTTTTAAAAAGCAGTGAAAAGTGTAATATTTTAGCAAAAGATGAATTGTGGTTCTGTGATTTACCATTTTTTTATATAGGGGCCTTTCGCTCCTTAATCGGTTAGCCCCTTTTTCTATGAAAAAAAATCGGGATATTTTCCGACCTATTTGTCTCAACAAAAACAATATGTGTGTAACATGTATATAGTCTAGTTATTTTTTTGTTGGTTCCGTTTTGATTTTTTAGGCCCATATGACCAGTCCAGATAGCAACTTTTGTATCAATGTTTAAAATGCCAAAAATGTACAATAAAATTGGATTTTTAGTGGGTTTTTTTTGCGGTTATATGATTCTATACTTTTATTTATTCGGACAGCGACCATTTATCTTTTGTGGTGAGCACGTTTTTTTGTTTTTTTGTTTTTTTTTTCTCGCTCGGGACAAACATCTTTATCTATTTAAATTATTTTTTTATTCAATAACATGCAGGAGGGTCTGGATGGAAGTCCTTTAGTTCCGTATTTTTTAAGCCATGTTTCTCTTTTCTTTATAAATAGATCATGTTGCCCATCCAGACCGTCCTCATGCAAGAGCAATTTTCTTTTTTTTTTTACTCAATGTTGCGTTGTTTCAAGTAATTATGACGTCTTAAAAGGCCATTTCATAAATCCCCCCCCCCCCCCCCCCCCCACCATCACCACCAAATGAATCAGCAATTCATGAGTAGTTGGTGCCTTCTTTTGAAAATCTACTGATTGCCACTTTTCCGGCACAAATCTTATAACTTAGCTATAAGAAGATGTGGTATGAGTGCCAATGAGACAACTCTCCATCCAAGTAAACCATTATATGTCAACTTAGCCTGTATTTATTTAAATGCAATAATCAGTATTTTAGTTCAAGTTCCGGTAGACGTTAGAATGACTCGGGAAAAATATTAAAAAGTAACGTGATTTTCAAACCTTCATGACATATCCGTATAAACAAGGTCAAATCTCCGACGTTCCCAAATTTGACCCTCTTTTATTGTTCGACTGGTTTAATTAATTACATTAAGGTGTAATTTAGTTATCAGGTTGCGTAATATCTTACCTGTAGGGTACCTGTATAGGTGATGAAAGGTTAAAATGTAATCGCAAAACATTAGTCACGTGTTTTTCGAAATATTATTATAAAATTTCACAATATATACTAGCTTTATGAAATAAAATTAATAAAGGGGTAATTAACTGACAGAAAACTATATTTTCAACAAATATAATGAACGCAAGTCTGACTGAAAATCAATTCAAATATCAAACAAAATATCAATAAAGAGAAATGACATTTAAAAAACCTACCTTGTGCGTAAATATAGTTCCAAAATAGAATAAATAGTGTGGAGAAAAGAACCACGTGTTTATCACATGGAGTCATTTTAGCATGTAATACTTTTAAATTTTAAATTGCCGTAGGTGTTAAAATGCGTTGACCAAACGGTAGTCAAAACCGACAAAATAAACAAAACCCTTAATCAAGAAATCAAGGCTCTGATAAACCCATTATATCCATTTGATTAAATGATCAATTGGATTAAATCGATATTTACAAGGATCAATCGCAAATGCCCCCTTTCCGATAATTATGAAAAACAACCAGACTGTGTCATCAGACTTAAAAAGGATATGATTGCATCATAGATATGCAGAATTTTGTCATCTTTTCCGATCGTTGGTATACAATGGTATAGTTTATTGAAAATAATGCACTGTTATACCCCAATGAAGTTGATTGCATACACGAAAACAAAATAACACATTACATAATACATCACAAAAATAACAAAAAAGACATCAATTCATATTATGTACATATCGTGCAGTTGTTGAATCCACTCTCCTCAGTGACCACGACTTTTTAATAAATGGAGCCGTATACCGCATAACTGACGGACATGAAAGACATAAAATCAATTTATCCATCTCATCTATATAATTTTTAAAAAACCGAAGATGATCGAATTATTTATTTCTGTCGAGTTTGAATTCCAGGTTTTCTTTTTTCTTCTTCTCTACGTTGGTAATTACTGTGATTCTAAATGACCGTGATTATGTTGAAATAAGATATGAAAAACTTTCGAAACATCTTAAAATGTAGCTGGGACATAATATATTGGCATGCAGTATAATAGTCTCAGAATGTAGTTAAACAAACACATATACGAATGTCTGGGTTTGGTATGGAATCCGAGAAACGACAGTTGATTTAAGTTCAACCAATTACATTATTTATCTCATTTCCCTATTATTTCGTCTTTTATTGTTGGTAATATATCATATGCTTTTACAGTAAATGTTTATTTCAAAATGAACCGGCCTATAATTTGAAATATTGATTGATTAATTGTTGGTTGCTTAACGCACAGTGGCAAATATTTCACGCCTGTTGAACGAGAACAAATTAACAATAAATACAATAGGTAGGTCCTGTAATAGAGGCCGTTCGGAATGAAGGTCGGGGAAATTTGGACTACCACTGAAAAATGCGGAGGGTATATTGGATAGGGATAGAAATTTTGCCTTGCATCAAACCACCTACGGACCCCTCAAAAAGTTGTTGTAAAGGTTCTTAACGTGCATGCAGAGAGCTTGACACTCTCTCTACACGAGGCATCGGATTTAACTTCCCCATTCTGACGGGAGGTATCTGTGTACTTGTACATCCCGCATCGCCAAACGGATGCTCCACTTCGGCAAGGGTTTTACTGCCAATCGGAGGAAGACCTGTAGCGACCGTATTCCTATTCCCTAGTCACCCTTGGGGACTAATTGGAAATACACATTATTCTTGTTAATGAAATCACAAGTTTGATGCAGAGGCGGATTTAGGGGAACCCCCTTATGGAGCTTCATCTATGGTTAATGCAAAGAATTTTTACCTTTCCCACTCCAAACGTTGCCTAGTTTGGGGGATCCCCCCGTTTTTCAAAATCCTGAATCCGCATCTGTTATGCATGGCTGGGCGGATGTTTAACCTTCATTTGCAACTATTACATGCATACCGGTATTCTATCCTGGACATTAATGTTAATGTGTATGCGGGACCAGGACATTAAGGTTAATGTGTAAGGACTAAGTCCTATGCAATTAGGAACAGTGGTTTAAATCTGTATACAAAGGTAGATGAGGGTCCGAAAGGGGGGCTTCATTTCTATATTCTTCAGTTTTTTAGAGCATTTTTTTCTATTTTTTATTTGTTTTCCCATTTTTCTCTATTCTTTATGTTTTACCACCCCATTCTTCTCTATTCTTTAATTTTTTGCCTATTTTTCTGTATTCTTTATTGTTTTTGCCCTTTAATTCTGTACTTTTTGCCCATTATTCTCTATTCTGAAAACCTCACCCAGACTCTCTTTAAGTAATCCTATAATCGATTTAAAAAATAGTACTATAGTGTACTATATATAATTTTTATGTCTCTGAAAGTGGCAAGTATTTCATGCATATCCAGTACAAGATCTAATTAGGAAATACAGTAGGTTCTGAAAGTTTTGCGAACCAGGATGAAACGGCTGCCTTTAGAAAAAGAGTGTGTGTAGAATAAGGGTAGAATCTTTTACCTTGCAACAAGATGGATCCCCAATATTTAATGTGACAGATAAGTTATTCGTATACATGTATTTGGACCAAAAATGCATTCTAGAATTCATTTGGGAACTAAAATTAAGAATGTTTTATAAATGGCTGTTCTTTAACTTAAAGTGACATATTTTAGTGCAGAGGTACAAGAAGACTTGTTTCATATTTATTCATGTCAGAGCCTTTTACAGCCGACTATACAGTATGGGGGTTTCCTCATTGTTGAAGGCATTGCGGTTGCCTATAATTGCTTACATCCACTTCATTTCAACTTTGGTATATAGTTGTCTCATTGGCAATCATACCACATCTCCTTATATATATTTTTGTATTGTAATATGGACTTGGTAGTTTTCACACGTATGTACAGACAAGCCCGTGTTTTACAATATCATGAAGTTCCAAATTATACTTCATAATATAAACAAATCATTTGTTGTATTCAATTGACACCGAGGATTACATATGATTTTCAATATTTTTTTTTATTTTTGACATTTGCTCACAAGGTCATTAGGCAATACAAATTCAATGTTAAGTTGTATGTATTTCTGGAGAGAAAATCTTCTTCTTCTTCTTTACTTAAGGTTCCACAATATTTTAGACTAACATGTCTAGTGGTGCAGTCAGGATTTTGTTTAAGCAATAGGGTCTAAAATGGGTTTTTTTAGGGGTCAAAAGAATGGAGGGGTTTACTATAGAACCCTATGGGATTTTCAAATGATTATAACTTGAAAACAGTAAGTGATAGACACAATCTTTATAATTAGAAATGTACTACATGATAAAGCACATCAAATGAAATTGATGGATTAGTCCCCAGGGGTCACTCCGAACCCCTGCCATTTGAGAAAGTTCTAATATCTTGTAAGGGGTTGAGATCGCTGGTTTGTCATGATGAAGCACATCAAATGAAATGAAGGGTTTGTCCCAAGGGGTCATCCCCACCCCCTGTCATTTGAGAAAGTTCTAATATCTTGTAATTAGTGGTGAAGATACCCACCCCTAAACCATATATATTCTGGTTTGTCATACCAAGATGATTTGAATGATATACAGGGTAAGACCCAAGGAGTCATCCCCACCGCCTGTCGTTTGAATATGTTCAAATATCTTGTAAATGGTCAAGATCCCCACCCCTACACCATATATATTCCTGTTCTTCATGTCACGAATATTTGAATGATATATAAGGTCAGTCCCCAGGGGTCCCCCCCACCCCAATGATCTAATATCTTGCAACTGGTAGAGATACCCACCCCTAAACCATATATATTCCTGTTTGTCATGTCAGGATGATTTGAATGATATATACATGTAGGGTGAGTCCCCAGGGGTCCCCCACCCCAATGATCTAATATCTTGTAACTGGTAGAGATACCCACCCCTAAACCATATATATTCCTGTTTGTCATGTCAGGATGATTTGAATGATATATAGGGTCAGTCCCCAGGGGTCCCCCACCCCAATGATCTAATATCTTGTAACTGGTAGAGATACCCACCCCTAAACCATATATATTCCTGTTTGTCATGTCAGGATGATTTGAATGATATATAGGGTGAGTCCCCAGGGGTCCCCCTCCCCAATGATCTAATATCTTGTAACTGGAAGAGATACCCACCCCTAAACCATTTATATTCCTGTTTGTTATGTCATGAAGATTTGAATTATATATAGGGCCAGTCCCCGGGGATCACCACCACTCCCTGCCATTTGAGAAAGTTCTAATATCTTGTAATTAGTGGTGAAGATACCCACCCCTATACCATATATATTCTGGTTTGTCATACCAAGATGATTTGAATGATATACAGGGTAAGACACAAGGAGTCATCCCCACCGCCTGTCATTTGAATATGTTCAAATATCTTGTAAATGGTCAAGACCTCCACCCCTCAACCATATATATTCCCGTTTTTCATGTCATAAAGATTTGAATGATATATAAGGTCAGTCCCCAGGGGTCCCCCCACCCCAATGTTCTAATATCTTGTAACTGGTAGAGATACCCACCCCTAAACCATATATATTCCTATTTGTCATGTCATGAAGATTTGAATTATATATAGGGCCAGTCCCCGGGGATCACCACCAATCCCTGCCATTTGAGAAAGTTCTAATATCTTGTAATTAGTGGTGAAGATACCCACCCCTAAACCATATATATTCTGGTTTGTCATACCAAGATGTTTTGAATGATATACAGGGTAAGACCCAAGGAGTCATCCCCACCGCCTGTCATTTGAATATGTTCAAATATCTTGTAAATGGTCAAGATCCCCACCCCTAAACCATATATATTCCCGTTCTTCATGTCACGAAGATTTGAATGATATATAAGGTCAGTCTCCAGGGGTCACTAATGCATATCACTTTAATGGACCAAACCAATTTTTAATGTCCGGCGACTTGGGAATGACTGTAATTGTGGGAACTTTGTTTGGGAGACTTCGTAACAACATCCAGTTACAATCATTTCTTGTTAAAGCTATTTTTTTTTCTATTCTTTATAAATGTTCCCCATTTTTCTCTATTCTTTGTTTTTGTGTTGGCCCATTATCATGTAGTAGTGGTCCATTATTCTCTATTCTGTAGACCCCATCCAGACCCTCTTAAATGGGCAAAATGCAAAATGTTATTGAAATTTTTCATGGTTCTCAGTGTGATCAAAGAGTGCACCTTGTATCAAAATTGGCTT